CCTGGGTTGGCCACAAGCAAGGCAATTTCTCTACCTGCTGTAGTATCTTTCCTTTTGCCTACTTTTTTTTTTTTTTTGCTTTTTTTGGGGGGGTTGGTGGTCACACCTAGCAGTGCACAGGAGTTACTCCTGGCTCTGTACTCAGGAATTACTCTTGGTAGTGCTCGGGACTATATGGGATGCTGGGAATCGAACCCAGGTCAGCTGCGTGCAAGACAAACGCCCTATCTACTGTGCTATTGCTCCAGCCCTATCGCCTACTGTTTTTAGTAGCCCTTTTTCCTACTTTTAAATAGGATTGTTTGTTGTATAATATTTTATGTTCTGGATATTAATTGCTCATCAAATTATGATTGTAGATATTTTATCCTGTTTTCTAGGTTTTTTTCCTCAGCTTGTTCTGTCCTACAGTACATAAAAGTTAAGTTTGATATAGTTTTTTTTTTAATGGCATTCATTTGGGTATCATATCCAGTGAATTATTCTAATTCCAGTGTCTTGAAGTTTTGCTCTTTTGTTTTCTTCTAGGGTATTTAAAGTTGTGGGTCTTATGTTCATTTTGACATGCATCTTGAATCCATTTTGTGCTTATTTTTTATGTAGTGTAATGTAAAGATTTGTTCTTTTTCATCATTTGTTGAAAGGTTTATCTTTTCCCCTTCCATCTTGGTATTCTTTTTAAAGATCATCTGATCATCTATGTGGTAATTTATTCATTGCCTCATATTGCATTCATCTGTTTGTCTTTATGACAGTTCCACACTATTTTGGTTGCAAAATTGTATAAAATATTTTGAAGTGAATGACTCTGTGATCTTCACTTTGTTCCTTTTTCGAAATTGTTTTGACTATTTCGGTTCTTAGAATCCATATCAGTTTTAGGTTGAATATTTTTTGTCTTTGAAAAACAAAAAAAAGAAAAACCATTGTTGGGGGCTGGGAAGATAGATAGTACAACAGGCACGGTGCTTGCCTTGCAAGTAGCAAACTTAGGTTCTATCCCTAGCACCGCATAAGGTCCTCTGAGCCTCGCCAGGAACGAATCCTGAATGCAGGTTCAGGAGTGAGCCCAGAGCATTGCCGGGTATGGCCCAACAACCACAGAAGGGGGGGATAGATTGCAATTTGATAAGAATTATACGGAATCTGTAGATTTAGTTATATTGAATCTGGGTAATTAGACATTCTAACAATATTAGAGTCTTAAATAATAATATTATTATTAATAATATTATTTTGGCAAATCACTGTTTTAAAAGAGAAATGTTGCAGATTCATGTGGGCCATAATGCAGATTTTGGGCTTTACCCTCTGAAGACAAAAGGAAATAAACTGGAGGAAAACAGGTGTGTGAAGTTACAAAATATTTATATACACAAAACACACTGGATCCTAATGATAATATGATGGGGGCTAAGAAGGGATCCAGAAGACAAGCAAAATATTATAAATTAGTCTGGTACATGATTTGGACTGGGAGGATAGGGGAGAATGGTGTGAGTAGAGATGGAGAATAGTGAATGAGTATTAGATTGAGACAGAAGCGACAGATTTAGGTGGTGGTTTGGATGTATTGATGAGATAAAAGTATTTTTAAAGCCACCTCTCGGGGTTGAGCAAGATAGGTGATGATATGCTTATAAAACAGCTAGTTGGAGACGCTGCTGAGGAAAGCGTATGTTTCTGGGTATGGAAAAATGCACCTAGACAACTAAGTTGATTCTATTTTGGGGAGAAATACATCTAGTCTTCTGTTTGGGTACATAGTAAACTGACAATATTTGTGTAATGACGTAGTACAAAAATTGAGCTTAGATATTGTGTGCTGTTTATTGAAATTTAATTACCTTTAGTGTAGTAAATTCTTACTAGTATTATCAAAGTTGTGTTCTATGTGAAACAAGCTATTGCTTTTGGTTTGGGGTCATATGGGGCAATGTTCAGGAGTTACTCCTGGCTCTGCCCTCAGGAATTACTTCTGGCAGTGTTTTGGGGACCATATGGGATGCCAGGGATCAAACTTGGGTGGACCACAAGTAATGCATGCTATATCTGCTATACTATCTCTCCATCCCCTGAAACAAGTTATTTTTAATTGCAGTAGCTGAATAGTATTCACTTACATTTACATTTGCATTTACCTAGCCCCTTCTATAGGAACAAATGTAGTAGTAAAACCTGCTTTTCCTTTGAAGTCCATAAATACAGAGAAAGTAGGTAAAAGCTACATATAAGTAAAATTAAGATGATTTTTACTTTGAGAGATGGGAATTAGAAAAGCAGTGTAGGGAGTAAAATTTGATATGAACAACTTAAGAATAAGATCATAATCATTTTTTATGTCTGGGAAACACTAAAGCAGTAATCTTAAAATTCAGTATTATAAGGAAAACATTTTCTAGATTAGAAATTGAGAAAGATGCAAAATAATATGAGAAAGGAAAGCAGTGAAAGAAATAGAGGGAGATGAGAGCGAGAGAAGCAAGCTTCAGCAGATTCTAAATTGAGTGTTAGAATGTATGTTAGAACATAATTTACCTTTGATTAATTTGAATCATAAATTACACACACACGCACACTGTTACACACTTTGTGCTCTTTGCTGCTAATAGGCAAAGTTATCAAATGAGAATTATTTTTTCTTGTTCTATTACTGTGTAAAGATGAAAGTCAGAAGATCCCATTATTATGGTTCTCATTCTATTATTAACTGACTTTATGATCCTAAAAAGTCATGCCTTCTGTGAGCCTCAGTTTATTCATCTACCAAATGATGGAGTTAAAGACAGTCTAAAATCTCTCCTGTTCTAATAATCTATGTTCCTTTGAATTTATTTTTACATTAAGAGGAGCGACAGTTTTCTATTCCTGTATTTAAAAGAAAGAACACATCTACATTTTTAAAAATTTAGTGTACATATTCCTATACATTAAGTTAGCACAGAAATTACTTTGCGCATTTTGCTGTCCTAATGTACTTGGAGCGATAGCACAGCATGTGGGGCATTTTTGCCTTGCACGCGGCTGACACGGCAGATCCGAGTTTGATTTCTCCCCCGCTCTTGGAGAGCCCGGCAAGCTACCAAGAGTATCTCGCCCGCATGGCAAAGCCTGGGCAAGCTACCCGTGACGTATTCGATATGCCAAACACAGTAACAAATCTCACAATGTTACTGGGCCCGCTCGAACAAATTGATGAACAGCAGGAGAACAGGGATAGTGAGAGTGACAATGTACTTGTTATCTATAATTTTTGGTATTATTTGAGATTGTCATCATTTTTTTCCCCCCAATGGTTCCACCTTTTGTGTCCTGCCACCACATGTCCTCCTGAGCATGAATGGATACTTCCCTAAAGGTCCGCAAGCACTCCAGTGTGACATGATGGTACAGGACCCCTAGCATTGAATTGCCAGCTGCTTGGCCAAGAATCACTCCAGTGGCCCCTCCTCCCCACCTCCACCACTTGAGAGATTTCCATAATTAATACATATTTTTATTTTGCTGTGTTCTTTCTGAATTCATTGTGTGTGACTTTTAGTGGGAGCAGTTGAAATAATTTCTGGACTGTGGCTATCATAGTTTCTTTTGAGAGAAACTAAAACTTTTTCTGCTTTTTACTTTTAAGTATTTTTATTTGTCTTTATAGGAATTTTGACCATTTTTTAAAAACATTAACTTAAAATCTTCATATATTTACTTGGTAGTGAACTGAACTGTGGACAAGTATTTGCAGTATGATTGTCCTAACAGGATTATGTGATACCAAGGGGAAAAAAAAAACCAAAACCAGAAAGAAAAGGCAGTGCCATGTATCTCAGTAAGATACATACTTAGAAGCACCAGAATGTTTCATAGTTAGTTTTAATCTGTGTTCAGACTTTATACATTTTGTTTAGTTCAAACATACTCTGAGTATAGTTTCTCATTCTACTCTTCAGAAAATGGGTGAAATTAGGATCCATGTGTTGAAATTCTATATGTGCATATAAAATGCTTATATGTACATTTAATGATTAAGATGGTATGATTATCCAACTTCTCCAAGAGTTTTTATAGTGGGATATAATTAGCGATTTAAAAAAAAAGCAATACTAAAAGTAGTAAGGACTATTTAGAGAAGGAAGAACAGCTTGGTTTTTTTCCTAACAGTGATTTATTAGATCTATCCTAATAAGATGATAAAGTTTTTAAATTGCTTTTTTGGTAAGCACTAAGAACTTCAGTGGTTTGACAAGAATAGGAATATATTAAGTTTAAGTGGATCTTAAGCAAATTAGTATCTATATTTTTAGATGACATTACAAACCCACAAAAAATAAATATTTAATTAGCAGACTCTTCCCTTTTTTATTTCTGCAGATGTTTAATTTGTTCTGCAGTTTCAGTTAATGCAAAATGGACTTGATCTTTGTAAAACAAAAAGTATATCATCAGTATTGAATATAATTATTAGTTGAGTATCATATTCTAGAATGGTGGTCTTCAACCTCCAGTCTGCAGGTATACAAAGTTTGAAAACCACTAGTCCACCACCTTGGTTACAACTGCCAGCCCAGACACCTACATGCAGGACAGCTGCCAGTATACACATGTAAAATTTGAAGAGTACTGTTCAATATCCAAATATCTTTTTTGTGGTCGCTCTTTTAAGTTGTAATGCTCTTGCGCTGCAGAATTCTAGGAATGCTAATCCTTGGTATGAAAGGATAATGCTGTGGTGAGGGTCAGGGGAAGAATTTAGTATAATCCTCATAATATCAGCTGTTAGAGTTTAATGCAAAATTATTTTTATCAAGATTAATTCTCTTCTAATGCAAGTTTTAAAAGTAGCAGTAGAATCTTTTACTTATAAGGTTAAATATTTTGTGGTAGCCTGGCAATAATAGAAAATGAAGAAGTTTATTCTGTACTTTCAAAGAAATATTCCTTGTTTAGTGTTTGTATTGCAAATGAATTATTACAAAATGTTAATAATCTGTTATGTCTTGTTTTTAAAGTGAATGAATTTTTAGCTTTTGAGGGTCCCATCTTGTTGGATATGAGAATTAAGCATCTAATCAAAACAAATCAATTAAGTCAAGCAACTGCTCTAGCCAAGCTGTGTTCTGATCATCCTGAGATTGATACAAAAGGTAGTTTTAAGCAAACTTACCTTGTCTGTCTCTGTACATCATCACCAAATGAAAAGTTAATCGAAGAGGTGAGTATGGTGCCTTTGATTAGTAAATACTCTTAAAAGTAAAGAAATTAAAATTTTAACTAGATTAGAATGTTTTTGATTTCACCCTTTCTCTTAATAGAGAACTACTGATACTTTTAAATTTTGGCATAATGACAGAGTTGGTTATAACAGCTTTTTTGGATAGTGACAACTTGGTTGGCAGCAGTTTTCAGATAGAATTGTAAAATAATTTTCCTTTTTATTTTAAATAATTGGATCTTTAAACACTGCTCACTAAATTATGGAAGATATAGTGGCAGTTTACCAATTTAGTATGATTATACATTTCAGTATTAGAACCTTAACTTTAGTTTTTCACTTCAAAGTACGTGCACAAATTTTTAACTGGGTAATTTAATTTTGTAGAGTTCAAGACTTCCTCCAGGCATGCTTTATTTGGTTTTTGATATGTGTATATACATAAAATTCATGGATTTTTTTTCTAAAAATCAAATATTCTAGGGAGATGTCAGAATGATAACATCAAAGTTTTTATTTGCATATTTAATATAAAACTTCCTTTGTGTGAAAAATTTGATTTGTTTTTAACTTCTAGTTTGGTGTAAAGATAAAAGTGTATATATGTATTTATATGCTTTATACTATAGACTTCTGAATGTAGAATCCTCGTCCACATAGAGAATTTGCATTTGGAGAACTCAATTCCAAAATGAAGTTAGGGGACAAGGTAATAGGACATGAGGTAGAACACTTGCCTTACATGCAGCTGACCCAGGTTCAATCCCCATACTGTCTGTGGTCCCCTAAGCCCCACCAGTAGTACAGAGATAGGAGTAAGTCCTGACTACTGCAGGGTCTGGCCTACCCGCTCCCAGAAGGAAATTGATGGCAGGGTAGGAGAATTTAAAGTTGTTTATTGAGGAACAGGAAATAGGATAAGTGTCTTGTATTTTTATATGAATGTTCTTTAACACTGGAGTAGTAGAGAGAGGAGAATGAAGAGATTGTTAAACATTTAAATATATCTTCATGTTGGGAAAAGTTGACATTAAATAGGACAGTGAGCAGTGGGTGCATGTTTTCTTGAGTAGTCAGAGAAAATTGTAAACATTATTAATACTCTGGACCACACAGGGATTACTCCTGGCTCTGCACTCAGGAGTTAACTCCTGGCGTTTCTCAGGGGATCATATGGGATGCTGGGAATCGAACCCAGTTAGGCCGCGTGCAAGGCAAACACCCTACCCACTGTGCTATCTCTCCAGACCCTCAGTAAATTTTTAAAGGAATAAAATTATAACCAGAATCCAGAAGGAAAGCTTCAGACAGCTGTGTACCTGCATGAAGTTAGTTGTTATATGATGTAATGATGTAATGGTGACTTCTCATGAGAATAAAAAGTGAGGAGGAAAGATATTAAGATGTGGACCAAGTTTCAAAGTAATCCTGTTGCTATGGTGGGGACAGAGAGGAGTCTTTGCTGTGGTATTAAACAATTTCTAGACAGACTGTTTCAACATGGAAAATTCTATGATCAATTTGGATATTAGGTAATACGTATTTTTTCTTTTGCTATTATATTGTCATTTTAATTACCATCGGAATAAATTAAAAATTGAAGTTTAGAATTGTTTAAACTAGTTACTTAACAGCACAGGGGTAGAGCATTTTCCTTGCATGCGGCTGACCCGGGTTTGATTCTTCTGTCCTTCTCGGAGAGCCCAGTAAGCTATCGAGAGTATCCTGCCCGCACGGCAGAGCCTGGCAAGTTCCACGTGGCGTATTTGATATGCCAAAAACAGTAACAAGTCTCAGAATGGAGATGTTACTGGTGCCTGCTCGAGCAAATTGATGAACAGCGGGAAGACATGCTACAGTCCTACTTGAGATGTCTTGTAACATCTAGTTGTTTTTTTTTTTTTTACATAAATTTGCTTTATGCTTCTATCTTTTTGGCATCAAAAAAAGCTTTTATTTTCAGTACAGTTCCTGTTCTAAAGTTTGTCTCTTCTTCCATTGTTCTTTAGCAGATTTTTATCAAGTGATCCTTGTGTAGCACTGGCTGGACATGGGTCTTAAGGAAGCCTAACTTCTATTAGGAAGCTATCCAGACATATGGTTATTAAATTAACTTTGAGGCTGAAATTTTGAGTGAAAATTCAAGAGGATTTTGTATTTCCAGATCTCTTGAATAGTCATACTAAACCAAAATTCATTCTTGATTTAATTATCTAGAGTAATAAGCTTAACCTGCTCTGAGAATTCCTCAGGGAAATTCTTGATGAGGACTCTGGAACTCTGATATATGAAATTATTTTTTACCCTTATTAAATAGGTAGAACTAGATATTCCATGTTTCTAATCAGGGCTCAGTTTGACACTACCCATTAAACAAAGCTAGATCTCACAGGGCAGAACAGTTACTGGTTTCTTGTTACAAATTTTTTAAGTGACTAGAGTGATAGTCCAGTAGATAGGGCACTTGCCTTGCACACAGCTAACCCAAGTTAGATCCTCGGCATCACATACAGTCCCCGCGCATTGCCAGGACTAAGTCCTGAGCTGGATGTAGATGTCTCTCCTTGTGTCCCCTGCCGCACCCCCGCCCACACACACCAGAAAATCCCTACTTAGAGATTATTAAATTACATAGTTTTTCATTGTATCATACTAAGTAGGTCAGTTAAGAATGGCTTTCACCAAGGCCTGCCTGAAGTAAGGAAAGGAATTTTCTCAGTGCTTCCTTCCGGAAAGGTATTCTTATTTATTCTCTCCCCTTTTCCCCCTTTGCCCCCCTCCCTCCCTCTCTCCCTCCTTGCCATTCCGCCCTCTTTCCATCCCTGGCTCTCTTTCCTCCCCTTGTCATCACTCTTCTTTCCTTCCTCCCTCCATTCATTTACTTTCATTTAATCTAGATTTGTAAGTATTTGAGATTTTTATTTTTCTTGTCTTTTAAAAACTGTTCTTTAGGGCTGGAGTGATAGTACAGCGGGTAAGGTGTTTGTCTTACATGCGGCTGTTCAGTCCCTGGCATTTCATATGGTCCCCTGAGCATCACTGGGTATGTCCCGAAAAGCAAAATAAATAAAAACAAAATTTTTTAAAAAGAGACCATTCTTTAGAATATAGTGGGGAATTGAGTCTGAGAAAACTGTGTTTTGCATGGAGCTAACTCAGGTTTAATTCCCCATACCACATGAGCACTCGATGAGCGTCTTCAGGTGCAGCCCTGGAGGTCCATGAGAATACAGAACTGCACTGAACCACCGACAATTGCTGGGAATGGCCCCCATGCCTCCTGAGTACTACTTGGGAGACCCATTGAGTCACTAATATATAATATTTTAAATCTACTCTTGCCAAGAGGCAAGAATCAGCCATGGCCTAGATCAGTGGTCCTTTTGAAGAAATTTGTGTTGGAGCGGCCCAGTAAACATAGGATTGACTTGTCCTAGAACCTTTAATGTGTGCTACTAGTAGCAATCACTTAGTTGGCAGGGGAGTGGACCTATGAGAGTTGGTATAGCATCTCAGGGAGGAGTAAACTTTGGCTTGAGTTCATGGTATCAATATCAAAATGAAATTAACAGTCTTTTAGTTCTGATACTCCTTTGTTGCAATAAGCAGTAATATTAAAGGTAGAATTTTTTTTATCTTGTCTCTCTTTGTAACTGTCATTTCCCCATTTGATTCCTCTAGTTGTTAAGTTTATTTTTTGTTTATTTTTTATTATTTTTTTTCTTTTGGAGTCACGCCCAGCAATGCATGGAGGTTCCTCCTGGCTCATCCACTCAGAATTACTCCTGATGGTGCTCAGGGGACCATATGGGATGCTGGGAATTGAACCCTGTTGGCCCTGAGGCAAGGCAAACACCCTACCTGCTGTGCTATTGTGCTATCTCTCTGGCCCTAGTTGTTAAGTTTAAAATTTGATACTAATCTGTTATATTTTTATGCTGGAGCGATAGCACAGCGGGTAGGGCGTTCGCCTTACAAGCGGCCAACATGGCCGACCTGAGTTCGATTCCTCCGCCCCTCTCGGAGAGCCCGGCAAGCTGCCGAGAGTATTCAATATGCCAAACACAGTAACAACAAAGTCTCCAATGGAGACGTTACTGGGCCCGCTCGAGCAAATCGACGATCAACGGGAGGGCCTTTACCCTTTACCTTTATTTTTCACTATGCTTAAACCACATGCTTAAACCATGCCCTGGAGGCTGCTTATTTTCTCTCTCTCATTATGGGTATCATTCCATTTCATTCCTTGTAACTGTAACTTATTTAAGGTGATATAATTCCTAGTGTGTATTAGCTAGAGTAGGATACATTTAAGATGTTGCCTTGACATATATAAGGATAGTTTCTAAAAGTGGAATTGCTAGATTTTAAAGTAGTTGAAATAAACTAGAATCATAAAATTTATACAAACACTATGAAAATTTTTTTCACCTAATACTAAAGATAGTCTTTAAATCTTTGCTATAGTTTGAGAATTAATGAAATAGTTCAGAGATAGGCAGTAGACTAGAGAATATGCTTCTTATGACCCCATTTGAACCTACCACCTACATAGTCCCCTGAGCACTGAGTGACCCTACAAACCCCCTCCTCACAGACAGTTTTGTTTTCCAGTATTTGTGCACGATACAAGAGGAAGGAGACTTTTGGGGTGTTTTTTTTATAAGACCACTAATTGCATTCATGGAGACTATCTGGCAAATAGTAGGTCATTATTTAATGTATTATTTTCAATTTAACTTTACCTTTGAATGGTATTCTAATTCTTAACAGCCGAGAAAAGTTTTATTTTGATAAGTAAACTATTTTTAAAATTTAATGTACAGGCTTTGCTGATACTTTATTTTTTAAATAATAGAGAACTAATATCCATAATATATAAGTTTGTACTGCTTTGGGTTTTTAAAGTAATTTTTGTTCATTAATGACTATATTTTTGTTCATAATTTACCTATATTTTGCTTTTTACAAATTCAGTTCAGCTTTCATTAATTTAAATATGATTGCATTTCCTTTCTTTTTTGTGTTATTTTTAAAGAGGGCCATCTAGAGGCAAAATAGGGAAATGTCAGTAAACCTGTAGAGTTCTATATTGTGGTTAAGTTGCTTTGCACAGAGCTGACTCCAGATTAACCTCTGGCACCACATGTCGTCCCCTCAGTTGTGCCAGGAATGATCCCTGGGAAAAAGTCCAGGAGTTAGGCCTGAATGCCACCAGTCCAAACCTATCTCCACTCTTCAGTACAAGTTTAAAATGTAGCTTAAGTCAGGTAGTATAGTGGGTAGGGCATTTGACTTGAATGTGGCTGACCCAGGTTAAGTCTTTGGCATCCTACTTGGTCCCCCTGAGCCCCACCAGGAGTGGTCCCTGAGTACAAAGTCAGGAATAATCCCTGAGCACTGCTGGGTATAGCTCAAACCAAAATACAAATAAAGTGGGACTTCCTAATTCCTAAACATTTGTAGGACTGATGAGATAATACAGTGGGTAGGGCACTGACCTGGTTTGATATGATTCCCTGAGTGCAGGGCCATGAGAAAGTATGGAGCATCAGTGGGTTTGGCCCTAAAACAGAACAAGCAAGTAAGGTTTAGCTTTAAATATGTGCCTGTCAAGGGTGCAGCCTAGGACATGGGAGGGCTCAAACCAGGAGATGTTCCTTGGTGGAGGGAAGTTAACTCTGGTGGTAGGATTCGTGTTGGAACATTATATGCCTGAAACTGTTTTGAACAACTTTGTAAATGAATCAGTGCCATAAATAAATACATAAATTCTGTACTATTTTATTTAATCTAGTATTCTAGTGTATTTTGTAGACATATATATATTTGATTTGGGAGCACACCCAAGAGTGTTCAGGGGACCTTATGGTTTGCTGGGGACTGAATCCAAGCCAGCTATTTGCAATGCAAATGTTCTACCCGCTGTATTCTGGCCCTAACAAGTAGATAATTTTTAAGTTATTGGGTATAAGCTAATGTGATGTTACTTATAGGTCAAGAGTTTTAGAGATAGACAGTAGTGGTGGAAAGACCACTGCACCGTAGGAATTCTGTGACTTAGGCTGCAATATTTTCATTTCACATTTTCTTTAAGAAATGATTGCTATGAGGCCAGAGTAATGGTACAGTGGATGAGGCACTTGCCTTGCACGTGGCTTGCCTGGATTTGATCCCTAGTAAACCATATGACTCCCTGAACTCTCTTTGGTATGGCCCAAAGCATCCGCCCAAGAACAAGAAACAATTGCTATTAAACACTGTAACCTCAGTATTTATTCTTAGTATTTTCTAGCCCAATTTAATCTGCTAAATAAGACCTATATCTGTTATCATTGAGCCTCATTATGAAAGGTCCATTTCAAGGTTATTATCATAGATCATTTAGACAACGCATTCACACATGTGAATGCCTCCCTTTTTTTCTTGCATCCCTTTCTCCCCCGCCCCCACTTCCAAAATATATTCATTGTTTGGATGAGAGGCAGAAGCCAACAAAGAGTGGGCATACATACCTTAGTGGTACATGGGTCCTATGTTCTTTAGTTCTTTTTGCCATTTGACAATTAATAACTTTTCAGTTTTGCAGTGATTTGTGATTGTATGCTATACATCACATTTTTGATTTACAGTTTATAGGAGTCATAGAAATTCAGTTTCACATAGCACATCTTTGTAATAAGCTGGCACATTTTAATTTTAAGGAAATTGAGTGGACATAGTTTGCATACCTTAACGAAGAAGTTTACTCTATCTTATTAGAACTTTTTAAACTTTTTCCACTTACACTCCCTTTTTGCCCAAGTGATCTTTTTGTGACCCTGTGTATATAGGTGAAAAAAAGAGAACAACAAAAAATAGGTATAGTAAAGGGTTTTAGGCACTTGAACTGGACCTACTGACCTGGATGTTGCAAAGTTATTAAAACATTCGGTTCTTTGGCCATGAAAAAAGTATTTCTTGAAACTGCAGCCCAGAATTTCCCAGGTATGAAAATTATGAATTGATTGAATGAGTTCATTAAGTTTTTCTGATGAAAATAATCTGTATAGTAGATAATAAAAATTTAAAGTATAATTATGTGCTGATACCATTTTATGACTGTTCTTTTTCTGTAGATTTCAGAAGTTGACTGCAAGGATGCCCTAGAGATGATTTGTAACTTGGAATCAGAGGGTGATGAAAAAAGTGCTCTTGACTTATGTACTGCATTTTTGTCACGGCAACTTCAACAAGGAGATATGTACTGTGCTTGGTGAGTTGATTTTCTTTTAAAAAGAGAAGATTACTAAGCACATGAAGATTAGTTGTGAAAATTAGATAATTTTTAAAATGTTTTCAAAAGGCTCAGCACTTATTTTTAGAAGTTAAAAATATGCAGACTGATTATTAAGATCTTAATGTTACACATTAAACTTTTTGTATTTGAAGCGACCAAATTCCTAGTGTACCAATAATGATTAGTAGTTTAAATGTTGGAAGATGTAAATTTCTTTTTTTCTAATGCCACTGTAGCACTGTCCTCCCATTGTTCATCGATTTGCTTGAGCGGGCACCAGTAATGTCTTCATTGTGAGACTTGTTACTGTTTTTGGCGTATTGAATACGCCATGGGGAGGTTGCCAGGCTCTGCTGTATGGATGGGATACTCCTTGGTAGCTTGCTGAGCTCTCCGAAAGGGACGGAGGAATCAAATCTGGGTCGACTGTGTGCAAGGCAAATGCCCTACCCACTGTTCTATCGCTCCAGCCCTCTAGTGCCACTTTGAAACATTTTTTTCAGTTATTAACAATCTAACATTGAATATGTTTTGTTTCTCTTCATATTATACTCTTAGTTGCCTAACTGGTATTTATCTGAAAAAGCAGCTTGTTTTCCAGATAGAAGAATTCATGCTTCACTAACTTCTACAGTGCACATTTTATGCTACCTTTTTTTTATTGAGCAGAGCTTGTTCTATACAATCATTTGGGAGTATATAGCTAACAGATATTAATGTTAGATTTAGTTCAAAATATTTAAAATCAGTAGTTTTAAAATTAGTGTTAGCTAAAAGCAACAAAATCGTCCCTCAACAGTGTTGATAGTCTTCTGTGTCTTATTTTGATACCATGAAAATAGAGAAATTTGATTTGTTACATAAAGAATATTTATTATTTACTGAGCAGTTGTACAATGGGTGGGGTGCTTGCCTTGCATGCAATCTCCCAGGTTCAATCCTTGAGACCCCAAGATGGTCCCCTGAGCACTGCCAGGTGTTGGGTGTGACCCAGCTCCCCAAAAACCTTTCTACCACAACCACCAAAAACCAAAATATGGGAATATTAGAGCTTAAGAGATAGTGCACAGGGTAATAACAAGTATTGGGAGAACTGATCCACACAACTGAGTTGGAGGTGGTGGAGTTGAGGGAAAGCGGTACTGGGGTCCTTGGGAGAAGAAGGTGGGTACATAGATGAAGAGTGTAGTGTTGGGATTATGTACATGAAAAAACATTATTAAGAGTATTTAAATTGTAGAATCTAAATTTAAAAAAAAATTTTTTGTTGAATCACTGTGAGATAGCCCTTTACAAAACTGTTCTTGATTAGGTTTTAGTCATGCAGTGTTCCGACACCCAACCCTTCACCATTGTACATTTCCCAGCACCATTGTCATCAATTTCCCTCCCACACCCAGTCTGCCTCTGTGACGGGCACTCTCTTCTTTCTCTTTCTCTCTCTCTCTCTCTCACTCTCTCTCTCCCCCCCCCCTCCCTTTGCTCCCTTTCCTCCTTCCCACCCTCCCTCCCTTCCCTCTCTCTCTCCCTTCCTTTTGGGCATTGTGTTTTGCAATACAAATACTGGAATGTTGTCTTGTATGTCCCTTTACCTACTTTCAACACTCTTGTCCAGCGTGATCTTGGAGAGCCCGGCAAGCTACTGAGAGTATCTCGCCTGCACGGCAAAGCCTGGCAAGCTACCTGTGATGTATTCGATATGCCAAACACAGTAACAACAAATCTCACAATGTTACTGGGCCCACTTGAGCAAATCGATGAACAATGGGAGGACAGTACTGTTTGCTAATCTAATAAACCCTTTCTTGATTAGCTTTAAAAAATGTATATTTTGAGGACAGTAAATTTTCCATGTGATGATAGTAATAAAGGTAGACTAGAAATTTTATATTAGACACATTTAAGATAAGTGATAAAGACTGTGTTAGGGGCTGAATGTTGAAAACTGAGTGGGGAGTGTGGCAAAATAGTTTGAGACAGTAAAGTTAATTAGGAAGCAGTACAGCTGGGAAGTTACTAAAGCTTCCTTGTGGATATGGGGTGGGGTAAAAGACATGTCAATGAACAGTTATGGGGGAAGTTTTAAGCAGAGACTAGGGGACCATTAAAAGTGATGCATTAAATTAGATGGTGAACTGGAAATGTGTTAATCATCTTTTTCATGTATTAAGTTTCAGGTTTCAGAAGAGATCTAAGCGGAGAGAAATCTTTTAAAGAACTAGAGAGGATAAAGTAGTCACAACTGGAGAGACAGATTTTGAAGTCCTCAATATTTAGGTTAAAGTACAGTTAATGAGCAAGTTATTCAGGAAGGTAGTGAAGAGGGCAGATTTTTTTTAATTGTAAAGATTGAGTATATGGTTATAGAGATTGAAAAGGCCTGTGTTGAGAAGACTGCTTTGGTGAAGCAAGAAAGTTTTGTGGAAGTTAACCTTGGAGGACAGAAGAGGAATAGATGATACATAAAAGGGAGGAAAAGTCATCACATCAGTGGAATTTTCTTTCTTTCATTTTGTTTTTGGATCACGCCCAGCAGTGCCTAAGGACTATTCCATGCAGAGTGCTCAGGTGCCTCTCCTGGTGGTGCTGGGGACTGAACCAGAGGGTCCTGTATGTACAAGAGTCTCACCCTTTCAGCTATATACTTTACCCAGTCAAATTATTTTCAATTTAGAAAATTGTGATTGGGGCCAGAGCAATAGTACAGCAGGTAGGGCATTCTTGCACACAGCCAACCTGGGTTCAGTCCCCAGTACCCCATATGGTCCCCAAGCCCTCCTGCAGTAATCCTGAGCACTGCAAGGTATGACCCAAGAACCAAAAAGATAAAGACAAATCTAAAAATTGTAATTATATTAGAAATAAATATTAGCTTATTCCTTACCTCCTCCTATTTTACTGCTACTGCACATATTATGTTGTTCTGGGTTCTTTGTCATCTCTGATTTAGTCCACTTTAAAATTACATTAGAAGATGTAAATTTAAAGTTTTTGAAAAAAAATTATGCCATTTATGCATTTTATATATACACATTTGTACTTATTACATAAAATTCATGTAATTCAACATTATAGTTATATAACTTATTTAAACATCAGGTGCCTTCCTACTAAAAGGTGATGTCTCCCTGTTTTAAAAATACATTAACAATGAAAAATTCTGAATGTATTTAGTGTTCAGAAAATTGAGATCTAATTTTATTTTAACTTATTGAACATTAGAATTAGATCTAAAAGCAGTTTAGTTTCAAATGTCATAATTTGAGTGGTGTAGTTCATGATTATTAATATTTCTGTTCCAGCTTTTAAATTAAATTTTTTTTCTCTTTTTTAGGGAACTCACTCTCTTTTGGAGTAAATTACAACAAAGAGTAGAACCATCTATACAAGTATACCTAGAAAGGTGTCGTCAGCTTTCTCTATTAACCAAGACGGTTTATCACATTTTCTTCCTGATTAAAGTCATTAATTCAGAGGTAAGAATGATTAAGATGTTTTTTTCTTAAGTTAAAATACATACATTTCAACACATGAAAATTTAGAAAGGCTTTCTTTATTTGAACCTCTTGGTGATTCCTGTTTATTTCTCTTAGTGTTTTTTTTTGGGGGGGGGGGTGTCACACCTGACGATCCTGACGATGCACAGGGGTTACTGGCTCTGCACTCAGGAACTACTCCTGGCAGTGCTCAGGGGACCATATGGGATGCTGAGAATTGAACCCAGGTCGGCCGCATGCAAGGCAAACGTCCTCCCTGCTGTGCTGTCTCTCCAGCCCCTCTCAGTGCTTTGAGCATTGATTTTCTTACCAGTCTTTCAAGGAGGAGAGTCAGAGGTTTGCTCTGAGCCTAATGCATAGTATTTGTATTTTGTCTGTTTTTACTCTCTGCTATCAAAATTATTTTGATGACATAGCACTTGAGAAATTTAAGATGTCACATAGAAATAGAGATAGCCTTCATTGCAAGCAGTCTTACAGATTAGCACTGTAGCACTGTCCTCCTGTTTTTCATTGATTTGCTCGAGTGGGCACCAGTAACGTCTCCATTGTGAGACTTGTTACTGTGTTTGGCATATCGAATACGTCACGGGGAGCTTGCCAGGCTCTGCTGTGCGGGCGGGATACTCTCGGTACCTTGCCAGGCTCTACAAGGAGGACAGAGGAATCGAACCTGGGTCAGCCGCATGCAAGGCAAACATCCTACCCATGTGCTATCACTCCAGCTAACACTAAAACTAAAACTAATAAAAACTAAAATTTTTTTCTACAAAATACCCCAAATTATGTAGTAAAATAAAAATGTCTCTTTACATGTAAAGCAGCTTACATCACAAGAATATTAGGGAATCCCAAGTTCAGGCAGGATAAAGAGGTGTATTAAAACTAAAACATGGGAGAAGAGTGGTAGGTACACTGGCCCTATGTGTGATGTTGGGATTATGTGCATAACAACCCATTTGTAATAGTATTTTATACCACAAAATCTCAATTAAAAAATACAAGAGCCAAGAGCAGACTGAATACCACTTGGTGTGACCCAAAAGCAAAAATCTAAATACTGGCCTTTCTAAGGCTGGCAGGATTGGGATATGTTAATGCTTGCAATAATGATAACGAAGGAGTTTCCATATCTGCACTGGGACATAGGATAGTTAACTGAGAATAGAAAGTTAGCTATCCTGCAAGTTGGATGTATAAAACTTCATGAGGTATAGATCTTCATCTCCACCCCCATGAAGTACTATGATTGAAAATATGAGAACATTTTTTAGAACAAACTCACATGGGTTATAGGGAAGGATTTCTGTGCATATCCAAATAATTGAATTTCCAAAAGTAAGAAATTGTCAGCCGTGAAAGAATTGTAGAGGAAAGAAATAATAAGGAGTCATAGCACAAATATAGCGGGTATTGTCTTGCATGCAGCTGACCTGGATTCATTCTCTGGCATTTCATGTTGTCTCCTGAGCACCACTAGGAGTTATTCCTGAGTATGGAATAAATCCTGAGCATGACTGGGCGGGGGATCTAAAAACAGTAGGATAAAATGTCCAAGATAGAAGGGAAGGCAGTCTCCTGCCCCTGCACCTGGCTGTTCCTCGCTGGGGTCCCTTGGAGGGGAGCGGGTTGAGCTTTCCTCCCCGCCCCGACCAGGGCTCTGGCAGCCGAAGACCTCCAGGACCAGCCACCACCATGCTGAGACCACTCTCCGCACACATGAAGGTACTGGCAGAGGGACAAAGCCACGCGGGTTCCGGGGCCGAGATCTCCAAGCCTACTCGGATTGGAGTTGAGCATTCTCCACCCAGATCCTCCAAATTCCAGTAGGCGGGGGTCACACCCACCACCTGGCCCCCTGGCGCCGTGTAATCCCATCAACGGCCAAGACTCAGAGACTATAAAATCCAGCTCCCGGGCGAGACCAGTGCAGTCTCCTGCCCCTGCGCCTGGCTGTTCCTCGCCGGGGTCCCTTGGAGGGGAGCGGGTTGAGCTTTCCTCCCCGCCCTGACCAGGGCTCCGACAGCCGAAGACATCTTCGCGGCCGCGCAACATCTTATCAGGACATCTTTTTATGACATCTTATTATCTCATTCCTACTTTGAACAAACTTGCAGGCTATCGAATGTAGCCTGCCCACAGGGCAGAGTCTGGCAAACTCCCCATGGCGTACCAAATATGCCAAATACCAGTAACAATGATGGGTCTCATTCACCTAAAGAGCCTTGAATATAATCTCAGGGCTAGGATGAAAGAGACGTTACTGGGGCCTGCTTGAGGCAGTCGACGAATAACAGGATGATGAATGAATGAATGAATGAATGAATAGAAGGGAACATAATAATATGAAGAAAAAACAAAAAAACTTAGGTGAGTGAATTTCAGTAAATAAAAAGAATGTTTGTCTTAAACTTCAAGTATTACTATTGTGGATAAATAAATCTTTAAAATGAATTAAAGCATAAGAAAGATGCTACCAAAATGCCAAAACTAATTTTAAAGTGTTAAAGAATTTTTAGAAAATTTAAATAGTATAGTAACTTAAAATGAAAGTACTTAACAAATAGATTAAATAGTAAATTACACTAAGGTAGGAAATGAGGATAGATTCCATATGTAGTTCTATTTATTAAGTAAACCAGAGTCCAAGTTTTGAGTCTTTTAAAACTGGTATGTAGCATAAAAGGTAATTTCTAATTAATATGTAATTGTCTTGAAAGGAAATAAAAAAGAACATTTGCCTATCCCCTTTTAAAAGTACTGATTAAAGTCTGTAGTTGGTCATTAAATCTTAATGTATTTTTACTTTTTCAAGTTTTCCCCCCCTCTATATCAGTCTGCTTTTTCATTTTATTGTGCTGCAGGTAAAAGTAAACTTGAAGAATTTGTAAATTTCTTAGGCAATTATTGTAAATATAAATATAGATTGTTATGAATTTCATTTCTTTGGGGGGGCAATACCTGATGGTGCTTAGGGGACATATATTGTACAAGGATTGAAGGGGGGTGGCAGTCAGCCCTGGGCAAGCAAGCACCTTAACTCCTTTTTCCATCTTAACTCTCCAGCCTTGGATTTCATTTCTTAATCAGATGAATCAACATAGTTAGGTAACGGTATCTTAGCTTTATTTCCCATTCAGGAGGCCCTGTTGGAGAGGATAAATACTTGTACAAGAACTACACTGCAGGCCTGGAGCAATAGTACAGCGGGTAGGGTGTTTGCCTTGCACATGGCTGACCCAGATTCGATTCCCAGCATCTCATATGGTCCCCTGAGCATTGACCACCAGGAGTAATTCCTGAGTGCAGAGTCACAGTAAACCCCTGTGAATCGCCGGGTGTGACCCAAAAAATGGAAAGGGGGCGGGGGGAAGAACTAGGCTGCTCATTATGATACCCTTGGATCATTTTAGCTCTGTAGTAGAATGAAAGGTTTCAATGAGAAGAGCTCTCCTTTGTATTCTCAGTTACCTGATGTGGCTAATGAATCACGTAGACATTTCCACTGTGGCATACAGTTGTGTTGAGTAGCTTTTTTCCTGGAGATTTTGTGATCACAGACGTAAGGAAACTTAAAAATGCTGTTGAAAAAGTATGAATACCTGGGAGAAGTTTGTTTCTGTTTCTGTGGCCAGTGAACAGAGTTACCAAAATGAGGTAAAACATTGTCATTTTTCTGTTCTAAAAACTCTATCATTACACAACAGTTTTTCATTTTCTAAAATCTGATCAAATACAAGTTAAAAATAAGAATCGTAATACTACTTTTTTCAGTACTGAAGGAGACTTTACAGGTACTTAGTTGTGACCAAGTTGCAGTGTAGCTTTTTTTTTTTCTTTTTTAATTCATTGTGAAATTTCACTTTAAGGTTACAGTTGGGTGAACTGGTCATGACCCTATACTTCTTTTTTCCTTGTCAAAGCTCCAGAAGTTGTTGAGACTGTTGACCAGCTACTCACATTTTAACTTAAAATAATTGTTTTCTTAAACTCGGGTCTATGAAAGAAATGCAACAGATAGCTTGGTGCCTCTTTTTAGATTCACTTTTTACTTTTCCTGGACTCTTAAAGATTATAAAATTATAGCCCCACTTATTTTATAGTCTGTGACATGCAAAGGACTTACAGTTTACTGTGGATCTTTTTTTAAATCCTATTTTGATTTTTTTTTAACAATTTTATTATTGAACCACTGTGAGATAGACCCTTACATGGCTCTTAGTAATTACATTTCAGTTATCAGTCATACAGTGTTCCAACACCCATCCCTCCACCAGTGTATGTTTCCCAGCACCAGTGTCCCCAGATTCTCTCCCATCACCCTCTCCACTTTTCTTCATCTCCCCCTTCCTCCCTACCCTTCTCTCTTTTGGCATTATGGTTTGCAGTACAGATACTGAAAGGTTATCCAGTATATTCTGTTAACTACTTTGGATACTCAGTTCTTGTCCAGCGTGATCATTTCCAGCTATTATTGTGATCCTGGCCCGTCTCTATCTTACCTACACTATACTATGTCCCACACACATTTATAACATTTATAGTTGATTCCAACCAGTCCTTCTAGTCCCTGTTTTCCCTGGCTGTGGATATTAATTTTCTACTATATATGTTTATATATATATATTTTTTAATTGGGTCATTCTTTCGTAGTGGAATGTTGCTCATCACAGCACCTGATAAAAAGTAGGTGCTACATGAATAAAAGAAGTTGGCTGTTTGACCCACTTTTCTGTTTTGTTTCTCCAGCAATGATTGTAGGACAGAGTGGGGGTGGGGTGGGGTAGGAAATAGAAACAAAGTATAAGATTGAGATAAAATAAAATTCTTTTTTTGTGTACTACTCAATAAATACTTCTGGTAACCAAGTTAGGTGGGGAGTTCATGTCAAGTCATTCTTTGACACTAACTAAAATACCAATTAGGTATTCTGCGAAATAACTCGGTTCTCACACTGTCTGCCTGGCCACAGCAGAGTTCACACATTAAAAACACAATTCCTTTGGGCCAAGGAGAGAACTCAAGAGAGTACCCCACTGACCTTGCACACCAGAGACCTGGGTTTGATCCCTAGAAGTTCTGGGTATGCCTCAGAAAATACACGCAACCCCTCTCCCTTTTAATTCAGGTCCCCAACATTCCTTCCTCACAGTGGGGTCATTAAAGTCATTGTCTAAGGGTTTGCTGAGCTGTTTGTCACTATTGGAGCCTTCTATATTACTGTTTTCATTTTATTTTTTTTAAATTGAGCTTAGTGTTCTTTTATGCTCCTTCCCATCTAATTTGATGCTGTCAGTGCATCATCGCCACCACAGCGCACTTCATGATCTGTAGAACTGTACTGGAGTTTCAGTGGTTTGGCTTGGCTTGGCTTACGTCTCTTCCAAGGTTTGTGGTGAAGCTGTGAAACTGGGCTGTTGTTTACATGGTGGTGGGATGCAGGTGTGGCTTCCGAGGCTTTTGACAGTACAGGGAGTCGGGGGAGGTTGCCTGCCCCTACTCCAAGAAGACCCCAGATTTCTCAGCCCACAGATGTACATGGAATTTTTGTTGGATTGGCATCTTGGCAGATATTAGACATGAAGCAGTGAAGTTGGGCCATTGATATGGCAGGGAATGTGGGATGCGAATACAGCTGTCTGGGCTTCAGCAGGGCAGGGACTCCCCCCACCTCCCTTCAGAGGTCACCAGAGTTTTCATCCCAAAGACCAGTGTAACTGTGAGTCAAACTCAGTTTTCAAAACATACTAGCTATAGAGCTTTTCATTTTGCTATGTGACATATATCTCAGTTTATGGTCTGAATATTAGCCTGTAAACTAAATTTGAATCGTGTGTGTGTGTGTGTGTGTGTGTGTGTGTGTGTGTATAAAGTGATGAAGGCTCAAAAGAATGTAAAATTTGATACTGTGATTTGTTATTTTTTAATTGTTATGCTGTTCCAGCAATAGAAATGTGAGACAGCATTAGAGCGTATCCTAGAACTAGATTCTCAAATTATAGGTAAAATAACTTTGTAAAAAGTGAAAATATTTTATTGCTAATAAATTATGGAACATGGAGATAATTTTTAGCTGACCTGGTTAAGAGAATTTTGTTTCACAAAGATTACAGATACAAACTTTGGAATTGACAGTTGTGATAAAGATAATGGCATCGCTTGATCACTCAGTGTGTGCCAGATATACTAAACTATACCAGTTACTTTGTTTTAGCTGTTTTCAAATTTATTTTTTATTTCAGTTTTTTATTTCGGATTTACATCTGGTGCCCACTGTTCCATGAGGTGTCAGGGATTAAACCTGGGCTTCCCACATGCAAAGTATGTTTTCATTCCACAGAGGAATATTTTTGGCTCCTAACTCTCCAGGTACTCTAGGTCGACAATATCCATTCATGCTCACTACAGTTATATGAAGTTTAAGTGCTGTTTTGATCTTTGTTTTATAAATAAGATAGAAAAGGTTGGAAAAGTAAAGAACTAACAAGTTTGCCTGACTTTTAGATTTTTCCCCCCCTCAGGCTTTAGCTCCTATTAGCTTATGCTTATGCTTTTATGCTGTTCTATACAAGTTGAACTCTAGCACCAGTACCAGTGTATTTACTTACACACACACACACACACACACACACACACACACACACACACAGCAGCAGCAGCAGCAGCAGCAGCAGCATATGCTCTAGGAGAGACATTTCATGTTTTGTATTAAGTCATTGTCACTGTCACCCCATTGTTCATCAATTTGCTTGAGAGGACCCAGTAACATTGTGACACTTGTTACTGTGTTTGGCATATCGAATATGTCACGGGGAGCTTGCCAGGCTTCACCATGCGGGCAAGATACTCTCGGTAGCTTGCTGGGCTCTCTGAGAGGGGCGGAGGAATCGAACTCGGGTCGACCATGTTGGCTGTGTGCAAGGCAAATGCCCTACCCGCTGTGCTATCGTTCCAGCCCTTTGTACTAAGTAATAATTTAAATGTCACTAAGTTAAAAATGTTTTATTAATATAAATTAAAATTTCCTATTTTCTTTTTCACAGACTGAAGGGGCTGGACTTGCCACCTGTATAGAACTGTGTGTTAAAGCACTTCGCTTGGAATCTACAGAAAATACTGAAGTGAAAATATCCATTTGCAAGACCATTTCATGCTTGTTGCCTGATGATCTGGAAGTTAAGCGTGCTTGTCAACTAAGTGAATTTCTTATTGAGCCAACAGTAGATGCATACTATGCTGTGGAAATGTTATATAATCAACCAGACCAGAAATATGATGAAGAGAATCTTCCAATACCAAATTCTCTACGCTGTGAGCTCTTGCTTGTGTTGAAAACTCAGTGGCCCTTTGATCCAGAATTCTGGGACTGGAAAACCTTAAAACGACAGTGTCTTGCATTAATGGGGGAAGAAGCATCCATTGTGTCTTCAATAGATGAACTAAATGACAGTGAAGTTTATGAGAAAGGAGTAGACTACCAGGAAGAGATTAAAGAAACTTCAGTAAATGGACTTTCTGGTGAAATTGGTGTTAATTCCGGCCTCCTCAAAGACATTTGTGATGAAAAGCAAAAGAAGAAAGAAATCAAACAATTAAGAGAGAGAGGCTTTATTTCTGCTAGGTTTAGGAATTGGCAGGCCTACATGCAGTATTGTGTACTATGTGACAAAGAATTCCTTGGTCATAGAATCGTGCGACATGCTCAAAAACATTACAAAGATGGGATTTACAGTTGCCCCATTTGTGCTAAGAACTTTAATTCTAAAGAAACTTTTGTTCCTCATGTCACATTGCATGTTAAACAATCTAGTAAAGAGAGACTAGCAGCTATGAAACCATTAAGAAGATTGGGAAGGCCTCCGAAGATCACCACTACAAATGAGAATCAGAAAACTAATACTGTGGCCAAACAGGAGCAGCGGCCTATTAAAAAAAATAGTCTCTATTCAACAGACTTCATAGTATTTAATGACAATGATGGTTCAGATGATGAGAATGATGACAAAGATAAATCTTACGAACCAGAAGTAATCCCAGTGCAGAAACCAGTACCTGTTAATGAATTTAATTGCCCTGTATCTTTTTGTAAAAAGGGCTTTAAGTACTTTAAAAATTTAATTGCTCATGTAAAGGGGCATAAAGATAATGAAGATGCCAAGCGCTTTCTTGAGATGCAAAGCAAGAAAGTTATTTGCCAGTACTGTAGAAGGCATTTTGTAAGTGTCACTCATCTCAATGATCATTTACAAATGCACTGTGGCAGTAAACCATATATCTGTATACAGATGAAATGTAAAGCCGGTTTTAATAGTTATGCAGAGCTCTTAACACACCGAAAGGAACACCAAGTCTTTAGAGCAAAGTGTATGTTTCCTAAATGTGGTAGAATTTTTTCAGAAGCTTATTTACTATATGATCATGAAGCACAACATTATAATACCTACACTTGTAAGTTCACAGGTTGTGGTAAAGTTTATCGGTCTCAGAGTGAACTAGAAAAACATCTGGAAGATCACAATAATCCTGAGAAAGTGCTGCCTCCTGAAGACCAGCTTAATTCATCTGGAGAGCCTCTGCAGCCTTCTAAAGTAAATCAGAGCACAGAAGGGAACACTGAGAAAGAAAAAGAGACATCCGGGCTGGCTTTAGAAAATAATACTCAAAATGCCATGTCTGCAGATAGAAGTAATTCTTGCAAAAGCAAGGCAGAATCAGCTATAACCAAACAAGACCAAATTTCTGCTTCTGAATTTAGCCAGTCTGATGGACCTTTGTCAAATGGCTTAGAAAATCCTGTTACTACTCCTCTCCTTCAGGCTAGTGAAGTTGCTGTGTCCATTAAGGTGTCACTCAATCAAGGGATTGAGGACAACTTTGGAAAGCAAGAAGGCTCAGCTGTGGAAGATTCTGGTGAATCATTGGTGACAAACTTACATACTCCAGTTGAAAATACTTGTAATGATTTGTGTCATCCAGGTTTGCAAGAGAGGAAAGAACAGGATTGCTTTAATGAAACTCAGATTCCTCAGAACTCTTTAGTAAATTCAGAAACACTCAAAATAGGTGACCTTTCCTCACAAAATTTGGAAAGACAAGGGAACAACATGGTGACCTTTTCTGTGCAAAATCAAGCAGGGTTTCAGAATTTACCAGCTTCCAAGTTTGAATGTGGAGGTAATGTTAAAACACCATCCAGTCTTTATAATTTACCTCTTAAGACTTTAGAAACTATTGCTTTTGTTCCTCCTCAACCCAACCCAACCTTGGGAACTCCATCAGTGCCTCCAAAAGCGCCAGTTCAGAAATTTAGTTGCCAGGTTGAGGGTTGTACTCGAACATATAATTCTTCACAAAGTATTGGGAAACACATGAAGACAGCACACCCTGACCAATATGCTGCATTTAAAATGCAGCGCAAAGGTAAAAAAGGTCAGAAATCTAACAACTTAAATGCACCAAATAATGGAAAGTTTGTTTATTTTTTGCCGTCACAGGTGAGCAGCTCTAACAATGCATTTTTTACACCACAAACCAAAGCCAGTGGGAATCCTACATGTTCAACTCAATTGCAGCATATCGCCCCTTCCATTTTCCCAGCTCATTTAGCAAGTGTGCCCACCCCACTGTTGCCCTCAGTAGAAAGTGTCATTAATCCAAATATACCTTCTCAGGACAAAAATGAACAAGGGGGTAGTATGTTACGTTCCCAGATGGAAAATTTATCTAATACCACCTTGCCAGCACAAATGGAAGATCTAACCAAAACAGTTTTGCCTTTGAATATTGATAGTGGCTCCGATCCTTTCCTTCCTTTACCTGCAGAAAGTAGTTCCATGTCTCTCTTCCCTTCACCAGCTGATACTGGGACTAACTCTGTTTTTTCCCAACTGGAAAATAGTACGAATCATTTTTCCTCACAGATTGAAGGAAACGCCAATTCCTCCTTCCTAAAAGGGGGTAATGGTGAAAATACAGTTTTTCCTTCTCAAGTGAATGTTGCAAATGATTTCAGTAGCACAGGTGCCCAGCAGTCTGCACCTGAAAAATCCAAGAAAGACCGTGGACGGGGCCCAAATGGTAAAGAAAGAAAACCCAAGCACAACAAAAGGGCTAAATGGCCTGCAATTATCAGAGATGGGAAATTTATATGTAGCAGGTGTTACAGGGCTTTTACTAATCCCAGATCTCTGGGTGGACACTTGTCTAAGCGATCTTACTGTAAACCACTGGACGGGACAGAAATTGCTCAAGAACTTCTACAGAATAATGGGCAACCTTCTCTTCTTGCCAGCATGATTCTCTCCACTAATACAGTAAATTTGCAGCAGCCACAACAATCTACCTTTAATCCAGAAACATGTTTTAAAGACCCGTCATTTCTTCAACTTCTTGCTGCTGAAAATCGCTCTACATTTTTACCAAATACATTTCCTCGGACAGGTGTGACGAACTTCAGTACAAGTGTTAGTCAAGAAGGAAGTGAAATTATTAAACAGGCTTTGGAAACTGCAGGTATCCCCAGTTCATTTGAGAGTGCCGAAATGCTTTCTCACGTTCCAACAGGTACTTGTGTTTCAGATGCAGCACAAGTAAATGCACCAGTTATGCCAAATCCAGCTGTGCTGCCCCTGGTGCAGACTGTGTGTCCCTCAAATCCCCTGCACCAGAGTCGGACACCAAACTCTAAAACTTCCTCCAGTGAGGAGTGCAGCAGTTTGCCTGTTTTTCCAGCAAATAACATGCTATTGAAGACTGTTGAAAATGGTTTGTGTTCTAATTCGTTCCCTAATTCTAGCGGGCCAGCACAAAATTTTACAAATAATAGTTCCCGCGTCTCAGTTATAAGTGGTCCTCAGAATACAAGGGCCAGTCATATGAATAAAAAAGGAAACAGTGCTTCTAAGAGAAGAAAGAAAGTTGCCCCTCCACTGATTGCACCCAGTGCTTCCCAAAACTTGGTAACAAGTGACATAACAGCAATGGGACTTATAACAAAGAGTATTGAGATACCAACTACTAACCTTCCTTCAAATGTACTTCCAAATTGTGAATCTCAGGGTCTGGTGGAAAATCTAACACAGAAGTTAAATAATGTTGACAATCAGTTGTTTGTGACTGATGTAAAAGAAAACTTTAAAACCGGTGTCGATTCCCACACAGTGTTAGCTCCTTCTTTAACATTAAAAGCTGAAAATGGTGATTCCCAAATGATGGCGTTGAATTCATGTACAACTTCAATAAATTCTGACTTGCAGATTTCTGAAGATAATGTTATGCAAAACTTTGAAAAGACTCTTGAAATTATTAAAAACGCTATGAATTCTCAAATACTTGAGGTTAAAAGTGGATCTCAGGGTATTGGTCAAACATCACAGAACACTCAGATAAATTATAATGTTCAACTTCCTTCAGTTAACACTGTACAAAATAACAAACTACCTGATTCTTCTCAGTTTTCCTCCTTCATGGGTGTCTTGCCAACAAAAAGTAACATTTCTCAATCAGAAACAGTACCTAAAGAGGATCAAATACAAGAAATTTTAGAAGGCTTACAGAGATTAAAATTAGAAAATGACCTTTCCACTCCAGCATCCCAGTGTGTGCTGGTAAATACATCAGTGACACTTACTCCTCCTCCTGCCAAATTAATTCCAAATGCCACTGTTGTTCAGCCAGTTTCCGAGATGATAAACAATGTTCAGTGTAATGAAAGAGTTAATAAACCTTTTGTATGTCAAAATCAAGGCTGTAATTATAGTGCTATGACAAAAGATGCACTATTTAAGCACTATGGTAAAATTCACCAGTACACTCCAGAGATGATTCTTGAAATTAAGAAAAATCAATTGAAATTTGCTCCATTTAAATGTGTAGTGCCTACATGTACAAAAACATTTACGAGAAATTCTAATCTTCGGGCACACTGTCAGTTGGTACACCATTTTACAACTGAAGAAATGGTAAAGTTAAAAATAAAAAGACCTTATGGAAGAAAATCTCAGAATGAAAATTCGTCAACCCCACGAATTACACAAGTAAAAAGACAGCAAGCTATGACTATGACGGAGGAAAATAAAAGGGAATTTCAGCCTCCTTTAGAACTGGGAGCAGTGAAGGAAAATGTGCTCAGTAATGTAGCTGTGGTCCCAGAAAAGGAACTTACAGAAAAAAAAAGTCCTGAAAAAACAGAAAGTTCTTCACAGCTAGTTGCAGTTACTTCAGAACAATGCAATACAAATTCTCTCACAAACATACAAACCAAAGGACGGAAAATTAGGAGATATAAAAAAGAAAAGGAGGAGAAAAAACGCAAGAAGCCAGTTTCCCAGTCCCTTGAATCTCCAACAAGGTACAGCCCCTATCGACCTTATCGATGTGTTCACCAGGGTTGTTTTGCTGCCTTTACAATACAGCAGAATTTAATTCTGCATTACCAGGCTGTACACAAATCAGATCTACCTGCCTTTTCTGCGGAAGTTGAAGAGGAAAGTGAAGCTGGTAAAGAAAGTGAAGAAATTGAAGCTAAACAAACTGTGAAAGAATTTAGATGTCAAGTGAGTGACTGTTCTAGGATTTTCCAAGCAATTACTGGCCTAATACAACACTACATGAAACTTCATGAAATGACTCCTGAGGAAATTGAAAGTATGACTGCTTCAGTGGATGTTGGGAAATTTCCATGTGATCAGGTAGAGTGCAAATCTTCATTTACTACGTATTTGAACTATGTTATTCATCTTGAGGCAGACCATGGGATCGGGGCAAAGGGAAATAAAACAGAAGAAGATGGCATATACAAGTGTGATTGCGAGGGCTGTGACCGTATATATGCCACACGGTCTAATCTCCTCCGACACATATTTAATAAGCATAATGACAAACACAAAGCTCATTTGATTCGGCCCAGAAGATTAACACCTGGCCAGGAAAATATATCAAGCAAAGCAAACCAAGAAAAGACAAAATCTAAATATCGTGGGACAAAGTATAACAGGTCTGGAAAGGAAGGAATCAAAATGCCTAAGACCAAACGAAAGAAAAGAAATAATTTAGAAAACAAGAATGCAAAGATTGTGCAGATTGAAGAAAATAAACCTTATTCTCTGAAACGTGGAAAACATGTGTATTCAATTAAGGCTAGAAATGATGCTTTATCTGAGTGTACGAGCAGGTTTGTAACCCAGTATCCATGTATGATAAAGGGGTGTACATCAGTTGTTACTAGTGAAAGCAATATAATTAGACATTATAAATGCCACAAATTATCTAAGGCATTTACTGCACAAAACCGCAATCTTCTAATCGTCTCCAAACAGTGTTGTAGTTCACAAGTAAAGGAAACTTCTGAGCCAGAAGTTGATAAGAGTGATGTGAAAAATTCTGACACATGTTTATCTGAGAACAGTGATAATGCAGCAACAACTGCAGTTCCACAGAAGGACTCTGAAAAAAAGGAGAAGGATGAAATGGATGAACTAACAGAATTATTTATTACAAAATTAATAAATGAGGACAACACAAATGTTGAGACTCAAACTCAAACCTCTTCCAGTATAAACAGTGATTTTCAGGAAAATGTCTCTAGCCAGTCAGAAAAGCAAAAACCAGTTAATTTGAAGAGAGTTAATAAAGAAAAAAATGTTTCCCAAAACAAGAGGAGAAAAGTTGAAAAATCTGAACCGGCATCCACAGTTGCATCAAGTAGTTTACACAAAGAAGAAGAAACTGCTGTTGCAATTCAAACCACTGAGGACCATCCTTCATCGTTTGACTGGAGCTCATTCAAACCGATGGGGTTTGAAGTATCTTTTCTGAAATTCCTCGAGGAGTCTGCAGTGAAGCAGAAGAAAAATACTGATAAAGACCACACAAATAGTGGAAATAAAAAAGGGTCCCATTCAAATTCAAGAAAAAATATTGACAAAACTGGTATGACTAGTGGAAATCATGTATGTTGTAAAGAGAATGAAATCTTTGTACAGTTTGCAAATCCATCACAGCTTCAGTGCAGTAATAATGTAAAAATTGTCATAGACAAGACTCTTAAAGATTGCACTGAGCTTGTCTTAAAGCAACTTCAGGAAATGAGACCTACTGTCAGTCTGAAAAAACTTGAAGTACGTTCATATAATCCAGATGTATCTGTTATGAAAGAAATCAGTGTGGGTAAAGCCACAGGGAGAGGGCAGTACTGATAAGTAATGTATTATAAATACATCATTTACAATTTAATTTTTAATTGGAAGCCATCACGCATGCTAGATTTGTGAAACTTTTTTTGTTGACATGAATTAACCTAGACAGACATACAAAAAGAAAAAAAAATATGACACGTGTTGTCATGTAAAGCTTTTTTTAATCCCTATGGGACCTGAGGAATAGAATCAATACTTTAGTTATTGTAAATAGTATATAGATAGACCTCAGTTTCTATCAAACAGTTGCCCTTTCTGTGAACTAAACTGAATTATCTGTGTGATTGATGTTTCACCAGGACACTGCTCATGTATACCAGTACTTTTTGTTTGTAGATAATCTTTTTTTGTATATATTTATTATTGTAAATCATTTACTGCCACCAGCAGTCTGTAAGTCTAAACTATTAAATGACACATTTATATTTGGAACTTTAATTTTTAACTAAGTGATCAACTTTTTAAAACTTATTGTTTTAAATTAAGAATTTTTTAAATTAAATTAGAAACTCTGCTATAGTTCACCAATTTTTACATAAACATTTACAGGATGATCTCAGCATTTTCACAAAGTTAGACACATATCAGCATTTTGCTCTGCTTTGTAAATTTACCATCCAGGATTTTATGGTGGTATTCATGTGAAATTAAAGCAGATTCTTTGGCAGTTTCCTATAGCTATAGTTTTTTTTTTTTTAGTGCTTCTGATTGGAAATAGTTACTATAATTCCATGAAATATAATGGAAATGTGAATAATGAATTTATTACATTGAAGATTTTAAACATTTGTTATAAAAAAATCCTTTGTGAATGTGATAGAAACTAGTAGTGTGGAGCAAGTGTAAATATTGAGGTGGTGATTTGTGAAGTAGCCCAGTATTGCCTTAAATAAAATCACATTTCATTTCTTGTTTTATACATGTGATCTTATAAAGATTGGGGGGGAGGGGGGCGTTGTTGTTTTTGTTTGGGGTTTTGGGTTTTTTTTTTTTTTGGTCCATTTTCTGAGATTTATAGATTGGTGTATAGCTTTAAACTGTATAAACTTTTGTGGAAAGATTTTTTTAAACATTTTTATAAATCTTAAAATTGGTATCATCAAAGTGAGCCCATCTTGTGTTTATAAAATGCAAGAGTCCTTAACATTTATAATTACATAGATAAAACACTTTCTATAAGGAAGTCGGATGTTTTGATTTTACTGTTTATAGATGTTAGATTGTACAGATTTGTCTGTATTTTCTCACCATATCTAATGATACTTTTTTTCATTAGATTGGTCTTCCAGAGCAGTATTAGTTGTTAATAATGGTTTATTTTGATTATTCAATATACAGTTAACTCATAGTTTAGCTTTATTCACCATATTTATACCGTGGAGTCATGGCCAGAGATAGAAGCTACTTCAGGAGAATTTTTTGACCTCCATTTAAAGTTCAACTAAAATCAGTATTGGAAACAAAAGAAAACATCCTTTAAATATTTAGTTTCTGTTTGCCATTAATAGTAACATTGATTTTTTTACTTTGTTATAAACTAATTTTTCATTCATAATATTAATCTGAACTATTGACTACATTGTGATTATATGAAAATATGTATATTTCCCATGCAACATCAGAACTGCAGGAAAAAAATTGAAGCACTTAAAAATTAATTGAAATTGCTGGTACTCTGAATAAATAAGCATGGTCAAGGAGTGAATTATTTTCTTTGGAAGATGTTTTTTTTTAAGTTTTATTAAGTGCAGTTTTTTAGAGCTTAATGGGTTATTTTGAAAAGTTGGTTTCACCGTAAGGTATGCATAAAACTTACCAATATGCATAAAACATTATAAGCCTGAGTCTCTGGTAAGCCCACTGTTATTTATAAAAATAAAAGTTGTTCTATCGGTAATTAATAAATGTTTTTTCCTAAATTAACTTTAATCATTTTAATATTAAATTTTTGTTAACAACTGGATGCTTCCGTCCAATTTTCTCAGAAGTTGACCACGCTCTTAAAGATATTTGGCAAAACTGCCCTATATAGTGCAGTAGGTAATAAGGTTATTTTTGTTGATTGTAGTAATGAGCTACTATTAACTGAAAATGTCAATGTATTGGAGCTTTTATTTTCTTCATTAGCTTAAGGAAATTGACCACTAGCGATCTCTGTAATTTTGCTCCTACTTATCAGGAGAAAGACTTTGCCAATATTGAGTTAATTTTTAATATTCCAGGTACTGTATGCTAAAGTTAATTATGGGAGAGTGGGCTTTTTAGCATGGAACAGAAAAATCTAATCATGGTATAAAGTAAATATGAATTTATAGAACAGCATGTTGGTAAATTTGATATGGAATGTAATGCCTAAGTATTAAAAATAATCATAAAGTATTTATTTTTTTCATGGTATACTTTTCCTCAATCTCTTGTCTTGAGATATTTCCTTCCCACAGCCTAAATTTTTCTGAGATTTCATCATTTAAAAAATGGAATTTCTCCCTCTTCTAAACTTTAATAATAGGATTATTCCAGATCAGAACATGTTACTCACAATACATCTTTGTATTAGTGACAGTATTGTTAACTAAGCATTAAGCATAGAGCATAGTGAAGCATAGTTGAAAGATTGGTTTTTAGGTCTCAGATGTCAATAAGGGAGAAGGGAAATCTGGGTGTGAGGTAGGAACATTACAGTGCATTCTCAGGATTGCTGGTGGTTCATGTGGAAAGAAAGGAGAGCTGGGGAAGCTGTAATCTAAAAGACAAATGGACCAAGTCCTGAAGGTTCTTGTAGATCAGGTTTAATCATGGTGGTGTTTTGGTCTGGTTGGGTGGTTGCGTTTTTTCTCCTATCAATTTTGGATAAGCATATCAGGTATCAGTTATAGAAAATTAATTAGTATGGTATAGAGAGATGGGCTGGATATATTGGAGGTTAAAACAGGATGACTAGAAATAATGCAGGGGGAAAAAATGATGGAAGCCAGAAGAAAATATTACACATAAGACTGAGAAATTTACAGATGTTAAAAAGTTGAACAGTGGGGCAGGTTTTTCCAAAATGTTGACTGTAATAATACACCAGGAGATTGGTGCGTTCTTAAAGTTTTCTAAAGCCAGCTCCTTCCAGAATGAATCTCTCTTAAATCACATCAGTACACTGGAAAGTTCTGCTTCACAGAAAATAGACTCACTCTTAAAAGTGGGAATTTTCCAGATTTAAATGACAGTGAATAGGCACAGTGAAAACTTTTAAATGTTACTTTATAGGTACATTCTACTGGCTTGGAGCTAAGGAAAAAATAAGAAAATTCTAATCTAGCATGACATTTATTTAGGCAGTGCTAAAAGTTAGCAGTTTGTATGCCAGTGCAGTAGTGTGGGCCGTTTACAAATGATGATCTCATTGGTCTGTTCATGGATCCAACTGATTGGACCTCCTGTTTCTGTTTAAATGTTTTTAATTGAGATTTAAGAGCACTAAAGAGCAGAATTGTATAAAACTTTAAAACATGCATTTTACACGATCCTACATTTTAATTGTATTGAGTCATCAGAAGAATGCACTTTGAAAATACATCTTCCTGAATGGAGAGATGGTGCGGTGGGTTGGGAGCTTGCTTTGCACATGGTTGACCCCCATTCAATTCTTGGTATCTCATAAGATCCCCTAAGAGTAACCTCTAAGCATCGCTAGTGGGGTGCATCCACCCCCCAAAAAGTATATTTCCTTACTCAAGAGGCCCTGCCAACAGCCAGACATTCTTAACCCTGGTTCCCATTTCCAGTGTTTCCATTTCCTTAATACACATACCAAGGTTCATTCCCTGCCCACCACCACTTTTAGGGTATTTGATATATATTGTCTCCTAGAATACTTATATTCTCCCTGACTCCTTATACATTAATTCAAGGTTTAGATTTTGTCTAATCAGAAACCCACATGACTCCAAAATTTCACATGCTCATTCTCTGTAATAGTCTTAAAAATTTCATTGCTGGTTTTAACATTTGTGCCTCCTAACACTACCACACAATGAATACACCTCTTCATTCCCAGCCATCTTGCAAATCCTTGCCTCCTGTTTTTTATGGTGTCCCTATAAGCAGAAGTCTTACTTTTTGCCGTAATCAAAACTTCAGATAAATTGATCCCTATCTCCAGCCACAAACTTCTAGTTCACCAATTTAAATTACCTTGGCTAAAAGAACTTCATCACAATAAACTAGCACTGTAGCACTGTCCTGCCGTTCATTGATTTGCTCGTATAGGCCCAGTAACGTTTCCATTGTGTGACTTATTTTTACTGTGTTTGGCATATTGAATACGTCACGGGTAGCTTGCCAGGCTTTGCCATGCGGGTGAGATACTCTCAGTAGCTTGCCAGGCTCTCCAAGTGAGGCGCAGGAATCAAACCTGCACCAGCCTGGTCGGCCGCATGCAAGGCAAATGCCCTATGCGCTGAGCTATTGCTCCAGCCAGTTAATAAACTAGCCTACAATTTGAGAAAAGTTTCAATCAACCTCTTCTCCATTTCTCTGACTTAGAGACTAGATTCCATTCTTAAGTGCATACCTTTGCATAATAACCTTATACCAATGGTGCTGTATCTCCAGCCCCTCATCTGATCTTATAATTTAATTTTTTTTAGAAAATAGAAAAATTTACAAGACCATTTTAAAGTTTGCCACCAAATCCCTGTGCTCCTCAAACGCCAGCTCCTCAGTCAGGCTTCCATCCCATTCACCTCTAAAACCTAACTTCTCTTTAATCTACCTTTCTTTTACTGACAGTTAATGACTACTATGTCCTGGTTGTTACTATTCTGGTTGCACAGAAAGTCTATGCAAGTATAGTTCCATTTATGTAGTCTATCGTAGCTAGTCTGAGTTACCTTCCAAAATACTGTTTCTGTTTTTCCTTCCTATGTGTTCCTATAGTCTCCTGGAACTGCTTGTGTCAAGATCAGAGGTTTGTAGATTACTTTTCTGCCTCAGAAATGGGGGTTGATGACTTCCTCTTAATTTTTTTCTAGTTTCTTGACTTGAATTTTTACTTGATTTTGTTTTTTAACCTTGGCTTCTCCATCAGGGATTTCATCCCTCATTCCATTTCCAGTATCTAATCTGATCCTTTGTTTCTGTACACTATCTAGATAGTACATTCAGTGAAGTATAATGTTACCAATTTTACTGTCACCTCTAAGACCAAACTTATCCATTCAACTGCCTTTTTCATGTTTAAGCATATCAGATCTAAAACATTGGTTCCTTCATTCCCTATCTTTAGTGTACTCATTTTCTGATACTCCTAATCTGGATAAGTAAAGTAGCTACTTGAGTTTTTCAAGATAGTTCTTATCAGTGTCTCATAGTAAACAATGTCTTCTTTACCTGTTTAACCACAGTTAAAATTTTTATCATTTTATCATAAATTTTATCATTATAAAATTTATATCAGTTTATCATTTCTTGCCCTTTCCTCCATTAGTCTCTTAGCCTTTTGGAATATTTCCCAAAACAGCTAGATGTTTTTAATTTTTTTAAGTAATTTGGGGTAGGTAGAATGTTGGTGGTGGGGTGGTTATTTTCTTCACATGGGTTAATGCCCTTTGATTAAAATAATGTTTTGACTAGGTTTTGCTGTGATTCCTGAATATTTCTAAGCACAACTTATTTGACCACTGTCTGTTCTCACCATACTTCATTTGATTTCCTCAAACTGTCTAAGCACTTTCACAAATCTGAGGACCCTTGCTTTCTGATTAAAAGACTGTCTTAACTGTGCTAGTATTTTCACATCTCAGGCCTCTGTTCCCATGCTTAAACATTTCAGTTCCTTCATAGTGGCACAAGTAGTAGCTTTTTTTCACTTTAATTTCTTTTCTTACCATCAATACTTATTTCTCACTAGTCTAACCTATGAGTT